CTTGACGTTTGCAAGCATTTCAATTTTTAAATTTTACACACAAACTCACACACACATTCTTATTTTCAATCTTAAACAAAAACAACTTTGAACAATTCCTTTTTTCTACTCTCAATTTTATATGATTTTAAAATGTTGGCAAACTTCAATCATGGTAGGAATAACAAAGCGTCAAACAAAAGGTTTAACATTGAAATTTTTGAGCACAAGTTTGACATTAAAAAAAACTTGAAAACATTTTGGCCAGAAACCCTGGCTGAACCACAATAGCTAATATAAAGAATGTATCATTTCCTGGCTCCACAACTAGGATCTATCAAAGAAATTCCCAGCAGAATTAAACTTGTTTAAATTTTGTCCAGCTAAATCTACGGATGTGGAACGGGCGTTTTTCGAATTTTTCACCAATCTTAAATGACTAGAGAATTTTTTTTCAATTTATAATTTATAAAATCATGCTATTTGACACTGTAATTCCAAGATTATTGAATAAAAATATTAATTGTTTTAAGAACTCCGTCGTTCTTTTGGGATATCTCAGTTTTTTGAAGAAAACAAGGGGTAACTGGGGCCACGGATTCTATTGCGCAACGTACCTATAACTACTCGCCCTAAAGAAGTTCAGTAAATTAAAAGAATGCAGCCGAGTTTACTTACCACTGCAATCTGTTTCTTATCGTCAGTCAAAAACGGCGTGCCAATAAAATTTAAACGGGGATCCACATAAAGCGCTGCTAGAAAAGCTTCCTTATTCAAGAGTTCTTCTTTTCTATTCTTCAACGCCTCTGTTAACAATTGCGCATAGAAATTACCGTTTTGCATGAGTTCATCCAATTCCAATTCGCAGCACATCAAATCTCTATAGAAGTCGCCAACAATATACTGCTCACTTTGAAGCTTGCTCGAAAAATTTCGCAGAGGCTTGAATGCTTCCAGGTAGGTGCTCAGAAACTGCCAGTCCACTTCCGGCACCACAGAATCCGTAATACTTTCAACTTGTATACAACTTTTCACTCTATGTAGATTGTTTAACATCTCGAATGTCGAAATCCAGCTTGAGTCATAGTCCAACATTGGAATCCGTAAACTTGGGTGCGTTTTGCGTAGAAATTCTATGATCTGCCTGCATTCATCAACTTGTGGCTCTATAGCCTCCGAAACATCTTGAGAAACAAGTTGTATTGTATGCACAAAGCAGCGAATCGTTTCGAAGCCGCATTCCAGTGCAGTGTGTACCTCCAAATAGTACTCATCATCACTGTTTGACTCTTCATCCAGCAGACACAATTCTTCTGCTTGCTCAGCGTTCGAATTCATGCCTTCCTTAAAATTTGCGCCATTATCCGATACGCACGCATACACTTGAGCGGTATCAATATTGAATTCGGTCAAACAGTTACTTATTTCTTCAAAGAGGAAACTCGAAGTGTACTCGCGCTCCAAAGGAATCACGCCAATCGTGCAGGTCACTAGATTTGAGTCCGCCATGTATTGGATGTGTACGACGAGTATGTTTTGCCCCATACGGCTGACGAAGTCAAATTTTAAGCTTATCATTTTCTTATGCACTGCTTGTGCTATGTTTTGCTTTCTTTTACTGCCCAAAGTATTCACTACGTCTGCTATGTTCTTCGAGTCGACTTTAATTTTGAAATACTCTTCGTAGGGGCACATAAGCTTTTTGAAATAATCTTCGTCGTCGAAAATTCTGAATGGCAACTTTTCTACGGTCACTAGTCCGACACAGCACGTAATAAAATCGATCTTAGTCATCGATAAATTAAAGCGGTTACTCGGCTCTTGGTGTACTATAGTTGTGCTGGCGCTTGATGTTGTTGTAGTGACATTACTACTGCCGCTTGTCAAATCGTTGTTTGGTAATCCAGGCAATTTTTTCCCGTGCACGCCCAAATAATGACGCTTTATATTGCTAAATTTTTTTCCAGCAAGGGCTCTCCCACACAGACAACACACCGATACATTTCTTTTCGCATCGTAGGAAATATAATTGTACAAATTGAATTTCCTTATACGTCCCATTTCAACAGAAAGCATAAGCGTTGGTAAAATACACTAAACTGAACTCGTCACTGGCAAATCGAAACTGAGCCAAATGGAAAACACAAATGAACTACATCAGCGGTCGGCATACTAACACATTCAAATAATTCAATAAGTAGGACTGTGTGCAGTAGTCCACTGCTCAGCTGCCGCTATTCGTATATGCGCGAAACACACATGTGCGCAGAGAGCGCTCAGTGAGCTATGGACCAGTGTGCGTACGATACCACCAGTGTTGCCAGGTTTTCAGCATGAGAAAACGTCCCTGTTGGTCTGAAAAAACGTCATTTCGAAACCAAAAACGTCTGTTCCATGTATGCACACAGAATTGTTCTTTATTAAACTTTTATTGTATACAAAGGTACATATGTACGTAAGGTATATTAAAATGTCATTTAGACAGAGCACATTTAAAATTCATTAGTGGTATTCACCAAAGTGAGCAAATGGCCTGGCACTCTGGCAAAACAGCAGATGAGCTCACGCAACGACTGTTGATAACAATTTAGAGAATACCACTATCGTAAACTGGTTTGAGATCGTTAATATAAAAATCATTTTATACATACACTTGTGATCAGCTGATCAAGTCATCAACATTTTGATCGATTTTGGCAGTTTCTCTTTCGTTTATTTAATGTTTATTATTTATCCATAAAAGCCAAGCTCATTAACAAACAAAATATAAATCCACAAAAACTGTGCAAAAATTATAAACAATCTGCAAATTTTCAGCTAGATTTTCATCTTTTTATTCAGATTTTTAAAAATTTTTTTTCAGTATGGAAGTTCTTAGCCCATCAAATTTCAGGGCAATAGTATGCAAGTTTAAAGGGGCTAAATAATCGCGTTGATGTTTAATAATTTCTTTTTTCTTGTAGACATTTGGTTAAGTGGTCGGTTGACGAAAATGCTAAATTGCGTTCTTCTAACAAGAAAAATAGTGCTTTTGCGAGCGTGCGTGTTGCAATAGATCAGCTGTTTCTGATTTGGCTTTTAATATGTAATTACAAACATTGTAATAAGCCTTGTAACCTCAAGTGTTTACACAACCAGCCTTTGAACGCCGAGTCCAAGAATAAAAAAAACGCGCGTACGCTTGGTTTGCATCATACATATTTAAGTCATATTTGTCCAAAGAATAAATATCTTTTGAGGCACCTGCTGCAAAAAACAAAGCTCGTAAAGACTTATTAAGAAAATAATTCAAAATCAGTTCTACTTACAAGATTTAGTAACAAATTTGCCGAGAGTGTGAGCGTAAGTATTTACTCTACAAGCAAATAGTACGCTATACATTGAATATATTGTGCATAGAGAAAAATTATTGGGAAGTTAAAAAACGTAATTTTTTACACAAAAAACGTCCAAAAGACGTTAAAAACGTCACCTGGCAACGCTGGATACCACTTTTGTGTTAGATCTACCACTTTTTTGCTAAATTGCGTTTCTACCACATCCACAGTAAGCATTTTACAATGTGGATGATTAATTTTCTGTTGATTTTGTGTAATATCGTGAATTGTGAATACGACATTGGCTCTAGTTTTTGCATTCCATTTTCTAATTTATTCCTGTTTCTTTTCAACACGTGCCAACTTTTCGAGGTGCTAGGATCAGTGAATAAGTGTAATTTAGCTGCGAAATTAATAGCTTTAGACGGGAGTGACGGATGGGTTTTTTTAGTCGTTTTTGCTCAACCTTTAAGTAATTTCTCTTTAACCATTTATTGGCTAAGTCTAAAAATTTGAACTTTTGAATTCAGATAGCAGGTTATTTCTAAACTGATAAAGTAAGAAACTTAATTATATAATTTACACAGAAAATTGACATTTTACAAAAGTGACGTGTTGCACAACGATGACACCCGCCTATCTGAGTTGATGGATTCTTTTTCCAATTTTAGACAAGCTATAAATATTTCGACCAAACGCGCCTTTCTCGTATGTAGCTAAGAGGATACTTAGGCCCATTTTGTTTTTTAATTAAATTATCATATTTGAAAATAAAAATAAAAACTCCTTTAGCATGTGGTAAGTGGGACAGTATTTTGTGACGGGTGGGACGAGTCTTATTGAGGATGCAAAGTTCGTGAATAAAATGAGCTCTACTCATTTCGTATGAATATTTATTAGGGCTTGTTCGAGTTGCAATAACAACCACAGTGTTGCGCGAATTATTAAAGTATCGCGTTCTGTGTGAATTTCTAGCAATGTATTATCAGTTGGGCGGTTGCAACAATGTTGCCATTTTTCATCAGTACGGCAGTAATGCCGCTTTTATTACGTGCCTCGAACAGGCCCTTAGTTTTAACAAAATTACCTTATATAAACTATGGGAAGGTATAGTATTTTCAAAGGCAGGAAAAAAATAAATAGAATTGGCTGTGACGGGTGGGACATCCAATAAGCATTTCTTTGAAAAACGACAACTTCGCACCATATGTAATATTATTTTTCTAATAACTCAGCACTGTTTTAAAGTCCATGAGGTGTGCTAATTATTATTTGCATTCTCAACCTAAATACATGAGCATTGCCTTGGCAAGAAAATACTATATGAGAGATAGTCGCACTACGGTTACGTTTGTAATAATACAAATAGAGAAAATAGTGAAAACTAAAACGATAAAAATCGATCTATGATAACTTGTGGTATGTTTTTCGCTAAAATGATCCTAAGATAAATTTATTAAGATATTTATGAAATACATCCACGTGTAATTTATATTATTTGTATTTATTACTGTGATTCCCAGATCATTGAATCAAAATATGAATTTTGTTTTAATGCTTCATGTGTAAAATAAAACAATCAATATTTTAAATACTCTGTCGCTACAGCTTTTTGTTACATCTCCGCTTTTTGATGAAAAGAAGTGGTAACACTCGCCGTAAAGAAGTTAAGTACATTTAAAGAATACAGCCGAATTTACTTACCGCTGCAATCTGTTTCTTATCGTCTGTTAAAAACGGCGAGCCAATAAAATTAAAACGGGGATCCACATAAAGCGCTGCTAGAAAAGCTTCCTTATTCAAGAGTTCTTCTTTTCTATTCTTCAACGCCTCTGTTAACAATTGCGCATAGAAATTACCGTTTTGCATGAGTTCATCCAATTCCAATTCGCAGCACATCAAATCTCTATAGAAGTCGCCAACAATATACTGCTCACTCTGTAGCTTGCTCGAACAATTCCGCAGAGGCTTGAATGCTTCCAGGTAGGTGCTCAGAAAATGCCAGTCCACTTCCGGCACAACAGAATCCGTAATGCTTTCCACTTGTATACAACTTTTGAGGTTATTTAGGTTGTTTAACATCTCGAATGTCGATATCCAGCTTGAGTCATAGTCCAACATTGGAATCCGCAAACTTGGGTGCGTTTTGCGTAGAAATTCTATTATCTGCCTGCATTCATCAACTTGTGGCTCTATAGCCTCCGAAACATCTTGAGAAACAAGTTGTATTGTATGCACAAAGCAGCGAATCGTTTCGAAACCGCATTCCAGTGCAGTGTGTACCTCCAAATAGTACTCATCATCAATGTTTGACTCTTCATCCAGCAGACACAATTCTTCTGCTTGCTCCGCGTGCGAATTCGTGCTCTCCTTAAAATTTGCACCATTATCCGATACGCACGCATACACTTGAGCGGTATCAATATTGAATTCGGTCAAACAATTACATATTTCTTCACAGAGGAAACTCGAAGTGCACTCGCGCTCCAAAGGAATCACGCCAATCGTGCAGGTCACTAGATTTGAGTCCGCCATGTATTGGATGTGTACGACGAGTATGTTTTGCCCCATACGGCTGACGAAGTCAAATTTTACGCTTATCATTTTCTTATGCACTGCTTGTGCTATGTTTTGCCTTATTTTGTAGCCCAAAGTATTCACTTCGTCTGCTATATTCTTCGAGTCGACTTTAATTTTGAAATACTCTTCGTAGGGACGCATTAGCTTCTTGAAATGTTTTTCGTCATCGAAAATTCGGAACGGCAACTTTTTTACGGTAACCAGTCCGACACAGCACGTAATAAAATCGGCCTTTGTCATCGATATAGTAAACCGGTTACTCAGCTCTTGCGATGCTATAGTTGTGCTGCTGCTTGTTGTTGTTGTAGGGGCATTGCTACTGCTGCTTGTCAAATCGCTGTCTGGTAATTCAGGCAATTGTGTCCCGTGCACACCCAAATAATGGCGCTTTATATTGCTGAATTTTTTTCCAGCAAGAGTTCTTCCACACAGAAAACAAACCGATACATTTCTTTTCGAATCATAGGAAATATAATTGTACAAATTGAATTGCCTTATACGTCCCATTTTTACAGAAAGCACAACCGTTGATAAAACACACAAAACTGAACTCGTCACTGGCAAATCGAAACTGAATGGCAGGCAGCAAGAAAGTACATATGTATGTATGTATGTAGAAATGAATTGAAGAAATGTTGTCGCTCTCGCTATGCTCGCGAAGGAACGAAGAAGTCAGAGACTGGTTACTGTTTACGTAGCAAAACAAAATAAAATTGTGGTTCATCTGCGATTTGTTTGCGTGCTCACATTAAATGGCAAAAATAAATACACTAAATCAGCTGCAAAAGACAAGGCGCATCCATATAAAGTGGTAGCAAGCGCATATAAGTAAAAATCTCCTGTATTTTGTTATGGCTTTTTGGTACATCGGGATGTCAAAACGAAAGAAAATAGGAGATAATTTTCGCCAAAGTTATGCCATTTCGTCTTCGGTGTCAGTCTTCTGTACTAGCCTAGATACAAAAATATAAAATCAGCTGTTCTTGTAAAACAACCTTGTATAGATGCGACTTGAACGCAGCACATTTTTTGGCATTGTCTCATTTCCTCTTTCACTTTTTTGCTCTCTCTCTTCTGTATCCAACTGCAACACGTAAATCCCTGTCAAAAACGAAAATTCCATTTTCCCGGTGCTAGCGCCGCGTTATTGTGGGATGCTACAACTTGTATGGGCATGAAAATTTGTGACAGTTCCTTGGCGCTTGGCGTGCCAATTTAGGGATGTTTTTGAATTAAGTAAAATTCTGTATATAAAAATGTTTTGCGGAAATTTTAAACACATGACACATAAACATATGATATAAAACAGTGGTGGGCAGGCCATAGTTCAGAGAGCGCTCTCTGATCAGATATGTATGTGCTTCACACGTATATGAAGAGCGGTAGGTGAGCAGTGCGTTTAACGCACGCAGTCTCACTTTTTGAATCGTTTTAATGGGTTAGTATGCCGACGTAAAACATGGCGTTTCGAAGGTAGAAAAAAACAACGCGCATTTGCTGCAAGAGTGTCATGAACCAAAAAATCAAGCACTAGAGGAAGACAGCTTTAAAGTTTTGGATTTACATATGTATACTCACATAGTAACAAGGTCATAGTAAAAATTAGCTATTGATGATCTTTACAGGTACGAAATTTTTACACAACATAGAAGAGCAGGTAGCGATTATTTCTGCATTCTTAACTATGTAATTTTTTTTTGATTATGACACTCTTGCAGCAAATGTGCCATATGTGCATACATGTCAAAATAAAGACAATTGATATATCTTTCAGTGTATGTACCTAATTTGTATGCCTTTTTAAATTTTTAATCCAAGAACCGTATTTTTCATAAAACAACATTTTTTTAACTAAATTTCCTAACTATTGCGAAATATATTTATATTATTAAGAAAGTACAAGTTAATTTTTAAATACGTAAGGATATGCATGTAAAAAAAAATTGTACATATACTAGTTGCCTTAATAAAGAAAGCCCCAATCTCACATCGTCGTTGAGATGCAAAAAAAAGCCGTAACTGACTAAGATTTTTTATTGCCTAAAACGATGTGGGGACTTATAATTCAATGAATTTTGAATTTGGGATTTTTAGTTGGCTCTTTATATTAAGGTAACGATATGTACAGATGTATGTATGTAACTATGGGAAAAGAGAGACGATAAATCCCAGAATTTTTAAGTATGTCTGTATGTGTTTATCAGAGCAGGCAGAAACGTGGAGTTCGCGCGAGTGCGTGAACCAAACTTCAATTCAATGCACCACTGCCAACGATGCTCTTGCAGCTGTAATGAGGGTGAGCCACGAGAAGTTTGCTTTTCTCGGCTACCTACGAGAATGATAGAATTTTCTGCATCGTGGGCTACCTACATACATATATACATAGTAGTGCCGCAAGAATGATAAAACATGCTTTTACGTGGAAACGAAATAAATCATCAATCGTTAAAAGCATGTTGCATTTATAAGCAAATCATGCTGAAATCAAGTAATTTCACTTTGTAAAATCTGTTAATAAATTAAATAGAAATCAGATAATTTATCATAAATCAAGAACCAAATGAAGAAAAAGAGGTTTTTCATTGCCTAAGATGTGCAAAAAATTTTTTAATCAAAAGAAAATGTGAAGTAAGGCTTTCTGGACATTGGCGATCAAGCAATCATAGTTGCTCCTCGTCACAATCATGATGAAACATTTACATGACGACTACACTTTCGCACACTCGATCGTGATATCTCAATTCATTTGGCGCCCTGGTCCCAGCAACCAGGACGGTTTTTCTGATAGCATTCGCAATTTGGCAGGCAATGGCAAATCACCGAACGTAATTTTGGCGTGATTAAAAACCTGTCACATATTATGTTGGCAAACATATGCTCTCTTGCTTCTGATTGTTATTGTGCCATGGGAGAACCCTTTTTGTAAAGTTGCTTACCAAACTTACGATTACTATAAAATTTGCTTACAGATTTGGTGTCTTCAAACCCTCGTTTTGAATAAAGAAAATCATTAAATTTATTGCGAAAAGCAGCAAGTTGGCAACAGTGCTCTAGGGGATTAACCAGATGTGTTAACCGTAGTAGAATCTTAAGCTTAACATTTGTTATGTAAAATAATGATTAAAATTGTTTTAGAGGAAATGTTTTTAAACTGATAAAAAATATATAATTAGCACCCGCTAAAACCATTTTAAAAGTTATTTTACTTACAAAAAATTTAAGCTTAATACTTTACAACGTGAGTCCCTCGATTGTGTAAGCGCCAGTTTATTACTAACTATTACTTCCTTAGTATTTTCACTCCATTCATTTTTATAGCACTGTGTTGTCGAATCAATTTACAAAAAATCATGAAACTGAATTTTATTGGAACAAAGGGTTATACAAATGTTCCATTTTATAAAGACTGGATTTAATAAGTTTTGTGTTATTTAAATTGTAAATATTTTTGTATTCTAAACTAATTGTTTGTTATTTATGCTTATTATATAAAAAAAAAAATTTTTTTTTTTAATAAAAAAGGAACTTTGGGCCCGAGAGGCAACGAGGTACCTCTAAATACTCGTAAGGAAGTTAAGTAAATTTAAAGGATACTGTCGAATTTACTCACCACTGCAATCTGTTTATTATCGTCATTTAAAAACGGTGATCCAATAAAATTGAAACGGGGATCCACATAAAGCGCTGCTAGAAAAGCTTCGCTCTTCAAGAGTTCTTCTTTCCTATTCTTCAACGCCTCTACTAACAATTGCGCATAAAAATTACCCTTCTGCATTAATTCATCTAATTCCAATTCGCAGCACATCAAATCTCTATAGAAGTCGCCAACAATATACTGCTCACTTTGTAGCTTTCTCGTACAATTCCATAGAGGCTTGAATGCTTCTAGGTAGGTGCTCAGAAAATGCCAGTCCACTTCCGGAACAACAGAATCCGTAATACTTTCTACTTGTATACAACTTTTCAGACTATGTAGATTATTTAACATATCGAATGTCGATATCCAGCTTGAGTCAAAATCTAGTACTAGAATCTGTAAATTCGGGTGAGTTTTGCGTAAAAATTCAATGACCCGCCTACATTCATCAACTTGTGGTTCTATAGCTTCCATGACGTCTTGGGAGACTAATTGGATTGTATGTGCAAAGCAACGTGTCGTTTCGAAACCGTCTTGCAGCGCAGTGTGTACCTCCAAATAATACTCATCATCACCGTTTGACTCTTCGCCCGGCTGGCATATTTTCGCTGCTTCGTTTGCGTGTGAATTCATGACCACTTTAAAATTTGCTCCATTATCCGATACGCACGCATACACCTGAGCGGTATCAACATTGAATTCGGTCAAATAATTAGCAATTTCTTCGCGCAGAAAATTTGAAGTGCACTCACGCTCCAATGAAATCACGCCAATAGTGCAGATTTCCAAATTTGAATCCGACATGTATTGGATGTGTACGACGAGTATGTTTTGACCCATACGGCTGGTGAAGTCAAACTTCAGGCTTATCATCTTCTTATGCACTGCCTGCGCTATGTTCTGCTTTGTTTTGTTGCCCAAAGTGTTGACTTCGTCTGCTATATTCTTCGAGTCGACCTTAATTTTGAACTGATCCTCGTAGGGGCGCATTAGCTTTCTGAAGTATTTTTCGTCATCGAAAATTCCGAATGGCAACCTTTTTACGGTCACAAGCCCGACGCAGCACGTAATAAAATCGCTCTTGTCCATGGATATTGTTAACCGGTTACTCGGCTCTTTTCTTGCTATAGCTACGCTGGTGCTTGCCAAAGTCGACGCTTCGTTGACGTCGCCACTGCTTTCGTTGTCTGGAAATTGTTGCCCGTGCACAGTCAAATAATGACGCTTTATATTGCATAGTCTTTTTCCAGCAAGTGCTTTTTCACACAGCACACAAACCGATACATTTCTTTTCGCATCGTAGGAAATATAATTGTACAAATCGAATTGCTTTATACGACCCATTTCAACAGCGAGCACAAGTTTTTATAAAACTCACCGAACTAAACTCGTCACTGGCAAATCGAAACTGAACGTCGGGCGGCAAGTAAAAATGAGCTGAAAAGATTGTGTCGCTCTCGCTGCGTTCGCGAACTAACGAAGAAGCTAAAAACTAAATGTAGTTAACGTGGAAAAAAATATGGCTCGCCCGCGATTTGTTTGCCTGCTCGCATTCTTTAAATAAGTATGGTTATGTGAATGCCTATAGATGTGTGAGAACGTATGGTATGTACATATACAGTTATGGAAAAAGAGAGACAATAAACCCATGCATTTGTGTGTATGTACATTAGGGTAATCCAAAACAGTAAAGTCGGAATTGTAATGCTCTCACCCCCTAGGATTGTTCCATATCGAAAAAGTACCCCTACCGAATTCTTGAAAATAAATATTTTTTGATCGGAAAACTCAGGTTCTCTTCAGGAGACTTTCAATAATAATACCCAGTTGTTTATTTAACCATTTTTTAATTCTAACGATTTTTTACTGGTTCCCCATTTGCATTTTTTGGGGCTTTTGTGGGCTTTTGGTGGACCTATAAATTATAGTTGCGAAAAAAATGCTTAGAAAACAATTGGGTATTATTGTTGGGAATCTTCTGCAGAGA